ACTACTCCCACCCACCATCAAAGGCTAAGTTCCCTAATGACTCTCTAAAGTTAGGAGTGCATACCAACTTCCTAAATGGCATGCTAAATCCCACCCACCATCAAAGGCAGGGACGGAACCAGGACATGATTAGAAGCCGGGCTAAAAAAAAAAAAATATTTACATAAAAAAAAAATTCTACTTAAAAAAATTCAATGGGCTAGGGGCTTGATCGGGCTGTAGCCCGGTCCACCCCCCTACAAAATCCATCCCTGATCAAAGGCTTCGAGTCATCATAGCAACATACGAATGCTGGAATTATAATAGTAATATGGCTCAATTTGAGTCCTTTGGCTTGATTAATCCAACACATATAAACTATGTTGATAGAGTTTTTTTCATCGATTTTGATCCTTTTTGGGTGACATCATTTATGAAAGATTGAGAAAATCAGCAATTGTTAGTTTTTTAGACACTGAAGTCATCCAAACTCGTGTAGTGTAATTTTGGTCGTATTTCTCAATCAATCATATCATTGGGTTTTGGCTGTTTACCAAATTCTCTCTCAATTTTACCCTTTTATAAAATAATTATATCCAACTCATATATTTTGTTCAAAACTAACTTGTAAATGAACTAAAATCATTTAAAAAATTATTTATAAGCAAAAACTTTAATTTTATAACTAAAATCTTTAACGAGTAAAAATTACTTATGAGATAAAAATTCGCTTTTGAGTATAAATTTGCTTATAAAGTAAAAATACTGCTAATAATATAAAATTTCACTTATAAAATATAAAAAATTATTTATAAGTAAAATATTCACTTATGTGTAAAAAAAAAAAATTAAATTAAGTTATAATTGCAAAATTTATTTATAAGTAAAAAATTACTTATAACTTAAAATTTTGATTTGAATGAATATTATACTTATTATTCAGTTAAAAGTGTATATATATAATTATTTATAAGTAAAAATAACACTTACGTGTAAAAAATTTCATAAGGTCATTTTTTTATTGGATATTTTTGTGTTTTAATTGCTGGACTTATGAAAAAATGATTTACTCAAATTAGATTTATTTTAGAACTAGCACATAATGAAAATTTGTAGGTCAATTATCTCATGTCTATTGCATACAACCACATTTTAGAAAAACTGTACATGTCCAGACAAGACATTTATGACATTTTATCATCTTTGAATGTTAATAGCGCAAAATATGGGTAAAATTGATACATAAATTCCGTCATTCAATCACTCGTGGATCTTCAGTTTTTTCTTTTTCTCTAATTTCTCATATAAAAAATAAAAACGCGTCGCATTTTTTCCTATAAATACCCTCTAACCAGCTTCACATATCACACGACCCAAAACATATTCTCATATTTACATTTGTGTGAGTTACCCCCCCCCCCAAAAAAAATGGCATCCAAAGTCGTTGCTTCAAATGCACTTCTCCTTCTCTTCAATATTCTCTTCTTCACAATGGTCAGCTCAACGTCCGTTCCGTGCCCTCCACCACCAGCCACCCCAAGCGGTGGCCACGGCCACAAACCCCACCCACCATCAAAGAGAATGTACCCTGAAGATACTCTAAAGTTAGGAGTGTGTGCCAACTTGTTAAATGGCTTGGTGAACGTAGTTGTTGGAACCCCTCCACAAACTCCATGCTGCTCCCTTGTCCAAGGTCTAGCCGATCTCGAGGCTGCAGTTTGCCTTTGCACTGCCATTAAAGCTAAGGTTTTGGGCATTAACCTTAATGTACCAGTTTCCCTNNNNTTAACCTTAATGTACCAGTTTCCCTCAGCTTGTTGCTTAACTACTGTGGAAAGAATGTCCCATCGGGCTTCCAATGCCCATAAACCAACACCATTTTGCTTCCATTTCGAGTATTTTCAATTCTTTCTATATGTTTCTATCTATGTTTTTTCTTCATATTTCGTGATGAGATTTCTTAGGGTATTGTCTGAGATTTGTTGATGGCAGTCAGTTCTAAGGATTTTGGGTATTACGTTGATTAAATGCAAGATTCGATAACATCTGATATTGTATCCTCTTTGTTTTAGCAATAAACTTAATTGCGTTTGACAATCAGTAACGATTTTAGTTGTTTATATAGTTTTCGAACTAGCATGAATGACAGAATTTATGTATCAAATTTAAAATAAATACGAACTACTATGAGATACATAAAACAATTAACAAATATCAGGATGAGAGCACTCAACTAATAGAGTAAGCTAAATCTCGCATGACATGAAGAAAAAAATTTGAATCTAGACTTTCATTAAAAAAATTATTATGACCGTAATTAGTTGAGCGATTTCATTTGTTTATATAGTTTTATAAATACCATAAATGATGGAGTTTATGTAGCAAATTTACAATAAACACGAACAATTAAAAGGATAGATGAAAAATTAACTAATAATTTTAGAATAAATTAAATATCAAGTGACATAGTTGTAGTCTTATTTCAATCTATGCATCTCAATTATTGTTTTTCATTAGGCATCAAGGGGCACGTAATTGCCTTGGGAATGGTAATAAGAAAATCATCATCCATTGCCTTGTAAACACATATCTATCCTCACCCTCGTAAACATTCCTATTGTATTTAAGGGTCTTATTCATTTTGAAATCTCATGTTGCACACTATTAGAAATAGCACCGACAATGACAACTTTAGCAACAATTTTACAATGATAATTTTTTTAATCGTTTTTCAAAAATAAAATGACAATCGAAAATTGTGACAAATACTAATTTACAAATTCCTTGGTATCGTTTCTAAACAACGATAAAGGCAAAAAATACAATTACCAAGGGTTTTTCGACTTTCCATAAAATTCTGTTAGCAATTATTTTCAACAATTATAACTTTGATGATACAATTGTTAGTAATCATTCAAAGCCGGATGAGTATAACATGAAATTAACATGCGGTTTGAGGCGTAATGTTCAAGGCTCATTTGGCAGAGTTCACTTAATTTTCTTAATAATTATTTCCGAAGAAGTGAAGGAATTCAAAACTCAACCAAATAAACAATCCAAATGGCTCCAACCCACTACCAGTATATATTCACCTCAGTTGCTCCCCAATTTCACCCCACAAAGGACAAGATGATGGTGATGATTTGTAAGCTACACAGGCACAAAAAAAAAAAAAAAACAATGGAAGAAACAAAAGATGGAGGACAAAACACAAAGAAAACCACCCTGTTTTTCTCTCCAGGCAAGCTGTCGATTTTCTGCTTCTAACACACAAAACGGTTAGGGCAAAGACACCATATATATAGGCTAAGTTAGGTTGTAGTTGTACCAATAAAAGAGGTTAAATTAGCCAAAATTCAAAGCCATACAAGATGTAATATATAGTGGAAATTATACCACACTTATTTTTTAATAAATATTTGAACATTACTTTGTGATGCTTTTTTCTCCATAAATACTGTAAAATTATAGTAAAAACAAAACATGAAAACTATTTAAATTATAAAGGTAACTAAATTTACTCCAACAAACAAGCCATTAACTTTGTTGATTAATATCGAAATCTCTAATTTAGAATCTCTTCATCTTCCTCCCAAATTGACTTCATCTAGAATCACTCTCCAAAAAATCCAGATTGGGGAAGTTTGACGAGTTTAGATACTAAACACACTTTCATAACATTAACATAATCGAATTTTTCGGGAAGTGTTGATTTGTTTCTAATAAAACAACCTCCATTTGAACTTGAAACTGCACAAATATATACTCGCAAAGAACGGGTTTCGTATGAAATGTTTTGAACCATAACATCATTTCACTATAAATGAAGTTCTGGGTATCCACTGATTGTGCAGTTGAGCTCAAATCCAGGGTACCCACAATATGATTCTTGCTTGCCATGTATATAGAATGGAAAACTTATATTTAGGCATTGCCACAACCCGTAGGCACTTGCTTCATATCGATAATCAATGCAAAACGACTTTTGCTTCAACGATTGTACAGAATATATAAAGCTCAAATTTAGACATGAAATGTATATGTTGATCATCATATTTCACTCTAAAAGACTGGATATTCTTGACTTACAATGTTGAGTGGTTAGAGGCTTTAATATATTTGTTTTATATCTGTGGTCTAAGTCTCTTCTTCTTGTTTATATATCTTGGAGAATTCGATTTGTGCAAATTCATATAAACCTCATTCCTGGATAATGAGACATTTCATTTAAATATGGCTAACAATTCTATTTTCAACTAATGATAGCAGTAGCATGTTTAGTTTGGATATGTGATACGGCTATTGAGTTGCAGTTGTTAGTATGAATATGTTTGAAGCTACGTAATTTATTCGCAATGAACTTCTTTGCATCATGTAAATAGTATATATCGGGATGATATTTTTCTCAAAGTTTATGTTTTGATTTCCATGTGCTCGCCTATAGCTGATATATAATCTAGGATACTGTGATAACAGAAAAAAAATCTGACAAAAAATTGCAATTGCAACTCGAGCTCATCAGTTTTTGGAAAAAGGAACTCTGACAAAAGAAAAATAAGTCTAAAAAATTGATTGTCTTTGCCCATCTTCAGTTTTCAAATTACTTTTTCTAATTTTGGAAGTCATTAAATGAGAAGCATAATCTTTGCTGGATTCAATAAAAATATTTCAGTTACAAAATGCTGTTTGTGTACATTTATAGAAGTTAGTATTTTTAGATATATTTTATGTCAGCCAGTATTTTTAGTTTTATTAACATAGCATAGTAAAATATGAAATAATATTTTATAATGATGTAAATACGAATTTTTCCGTAATATATATGGACCATGAACAACATTAATTGTTTAAGTTATTTTCAAAAGCCCACGTTATTTTCGGGTTGAGCCTTTAGACTTGGTTGTTGATAACAATTTAATCCAACGTTTATATTATCAAAACCCAACAATTTCAAATTTTGAATCAATGAATTTTGAAGTGTTAATCATCGTTAGTTAGATATCGCTAATCACTTGGTCTAGTTGATTGAAGATCAACCATGCATGGTTTTGTATCCATTTACAATTTTGACTTTTCATTATGTGGGAAACACGGTGGATACTTAAGTGAAAAAGCATAAAAACAATCATCACTCTTTCCAAAGATAATAAAATGGACATTTTATCATTTTTTATAACAATTGAACTTTTAACATCAAGTTTGTTATGTAAAAGATTGATTTTAATTTTAACTCCAAAGATCAACTCGTTTAAACCATAACCACTACCTTCACATTAGAACACAAATTAATTAAAAAATTGTAGATGAGAAGACAACAAAATTGAAAGGACTACAGAAGAAATCTAAAGACAAAATTGACTATTCATTGTGAGAATCAAAATATTTCTATCGCGATTGAATTGCTGAATAAAGAAGGCCGCAAATTTTTAATTGAACTTGATCATAAAAGTGATTCAACCCAATTATTTTTATTTATCATGTGAAGTAATAAAGTTATTAAACTCGTCGACTTTAATATTGCATGTTCTTGGAGTCACGGGCTGTACTGTTCTGCAAAGAACATTGCCATAGAGATTCTTCCAAATTCTCATGCCCAATGAATGGAGTTCTTGCAAGCAACTTGACATGTGTAATCCAACCACATCCAATTTTTTTTAACATTTGCTTTCTTTTATCATTGTATATTATCATCAAATAACCTTTGAGAACTTTTCAATTTCTAAAAAAATACAGTTTCTGGACAATTCAATTGACATATAAGCCTCTGATGGTTTCTAAATATAACTTGTGGAAAAGGTTGATCATAATTCATCACTGTTGTAAATTGAAGTCCGCCCCTCTAAATTCCTAGCCCATTTAATAGTTTAAGCTTTTAAATGATGGTGATTTTTTCGATTTTTTGTTCATTTTGATATATTAAGAGGCATTACATACAGAATTTTGTTAGCAATTTTCCACGATCTTTTTGTCTTTTTAAGTTTTCTATAGAATTAGTTTTTAGTTAATCCTGTCAATGAAATGTGGTGATCGCGGATTCGTTCTACTGCAGTTTCCCTTAATTTTTATACATAAAATTCTTCCTTTTTCCTTGAAGAAACTGAGGAAATTAATCCTCACAAGTTACTAATATCTCTTGTGTAGATATCAATCTTGTCATTTCGTTTAACAATAGAATACTTTTATACCGAGGCAATAACGAAGCAGGTGAGGCAAGGCATATTTTATTTTTACATTTCGTTGGTTTGGATATTAATTGGGGTATAAAACGTTCAGCATGCTGCATCAAGGATTCCGAAAATTGAAATATCCATAATATTATTTAGAGATCAAGAGAGAAGCTTATGATTATTGCTTCTTGATAACAATATATTGATATAAAATGAATAGTGGAAACATTTTGGATAAGTAAAACATGCAAATTACAAGCTATTCTCACATCACATGAGACATTTCTTTCTTATTTGCTAAAAAGGGTACCAAGCACAAGAATGCAATGATCTTAAAGTGCAAATTCAGATGTCTGAGAAAATAAGAGCCAAAAGAATTTTGTTAATTAGGCACATATGAAACCTGATGGGACCTTCTTGGAGCAGACATTAAGAAGCAAGCTAAGGGAGAGAGGAACATTAAGGTTAATGCCCAAAATATTGGCTTTAATGGCAGTGCAAAGGCAGACCGCAGCCTCGAGGTCAGCAAGGCCTTCGATAAG